TTCTCTCAACAGGTGATCCAGGAGATTTTTTTTCTCTTCTTTCTCTTTTTAAGTGCCCTTTCTCACTGTCCCTCTTCCCTTCTGTTTTTCTTTTCCTTCATCTTTCTTTCTCCCTTTCTATCCCTCAGTCATGTCTGTCCCGTCTGTAACAACTGAAAATAAAATAAAATAAATAATAACAACAAAGGTTGATCAAATGGACCAACACGGCAAGGCCGTGATGATCCATTTGGCAAAGTAAATCCATTGGGTATCCTTGTTGGTCTTCAGACAACAATTCGGACGGCTAAAGAACCAAATGAGACAGGCAAAAAAAAAATAAATAAATAAATTAGCATGATATGAATGTGTATTATATCTTATCCCTTCTCATTTGGTAATTAATCTGACAAATTCCCTTTGTGCTAAACTATTTACTTTTAAATGTGGGGAATATTTTCTTGCCTTTTTATTATTAACTTTTTAAATTGAAAGGCTAGACAGAAATACAGTGGATGTAAAGTCTTTATACATGCTTTATATACAGTAATGTAAAGTAATGTCATTTTCTGTTTTGTTTAGAAAAAGAGCACTCATATGTGTTTTTATTAATGGTGCACTAATAATAATGAACCTTTTCACAAATGTGTTTTCGGATGTAGTGATATAATTATGAGTTTTTACATCTAAAAGGTCGAAGGACAGTTTCAAGATGGCATCATAATGTTTTGTAAAAGCACTACAGCAGCTGTAGAGCAGAGTAATAATTCACTGCAGTAAGTCTAGTTTAATAATTACAGATATTTGAAGAATGATTAACAAAGATTAAAAAGCACCGTTAGACCCTTGAGGCACGCCACACAGTATTGCAGCTGCGTCAAACTTGGCATCAAACAATTGTAGCAGACTGTTCTTTAACCATATAAATGAATGAATGAATTATTAAATGTTTAAATGTTGCTCATAGCACATTTAGATATATTTTTCATGCGATAATATCCTTTATATTTTTTAATTTGAACTCTGACACTGATCCTTTTTTCTGTTACTTCTAATCACATTTCGGCATGAGTCATAAAAGTTACTCCAGGGTAGCGCACCAGAGACAAACTGTTGTTGCCGTAAAGGCTCACGTGTTACATTTGTGTCCTGAATAATGGAGGTAGTTCTTGTCACTAACTGCAGAACGTCACAGCAAACCACAGGGTGAATGATGTCATTGCCACCGAGGATGGACCCCAGACTCTGGTTGGTCGCTTCATGTATGGCCCCTTGGATATGGTCACTCTGACTGGAGAAAAGGTGAAAAACAGCGATATGATTTATGTTGATGTGTGTGCGTTTCTTTGTTAGGCTGACAATAATCAATTAATCGCATGTGTTATACCCCTGCCCCTCTCAGGTGGATATCCTGCTCATGACACAGCCTCAGTCGGGCCGCTGGGTGCACTTTGACACAGAGGTGACCAACAGCAGTGGCAGAGTCACATACACAATACCTAAGACCAAGAAGCTTGGCCTAGGAGTATATCCCATTAAAATGGTAGTCAAGTAAGCATCCATGTGGCATTCCCTTTACAAAGTGCTGTATTATCAAATAAGATGTAGAAAGAAGAGAAAGATTTTATTTATTTATGCTCTGTGTTGGAGTATGAGCTCCTTGCTGGATAATGCTGCATAAATAGTGGCCTTGAAGGGAGTAACAACTAAGTTCTCTTTTTTTTTTTAATATGTAGTTTCTCCTTTTTTCAATCCACAGGGGGGATCAGACTAGTGCAGAGGCCTACCTGACTGTGTTACCAAGGGGCATGGAGTGTGTTGTGTTCAGCATTGATGGCTCTTTTGCTGCCAGTGTGTCAATCATGGGCAGCGACCCCAAGGTCCGTCCTGGAGCTGTCGATGTGGTCAGGTAACTGATTACCCTTTTTGATTATACATGCGTGTGGTTGTATGTCTACATGTAAATCTTGAGAAGGTAGATGGGTTCACAGGAAAATACAAATTCAGTAGTCAATGCGCGTGCTTTGTTGGAGCTCTCAGTGTTTTAAGGATTTATGCGCATCCTCTCTGTGATAATGCCACCGTGATACAATTATTCCCTTTGATGTGTGCTTGATTTTATGCATTCACATCCAGGCATTGGCAGGACTTGGGATATTTGATCATCTACATCACAGGCCGTCCTGATATGCAGAAACAGCGTGTGGTGTCCTGGCTCTCGCAGCACAATTTCCCCCACGGGATGATCTTTTTTTCTGAGGGCTTAGTTCATGACCCCCTGCGACAAAAGACCATCTTCCTCAGGAACCTCATCCAGGAGGTAAATCCTGACATTAACATAGGCAGTTAATATTTCTTATACAGCAAATAAGACCTTTTGGTCCCCGCCGTACAGTGAGATCTTTCTCTCACTCACAATTTTGTAGCTTTGGGATGTGCTGAATCAAAATGTCACACGTGTGTGTGACTGGTTATTTTCTCTTTCACCAGTGTCACATTAAGATCAACTCTGCCTATGGCTCCATGAAGGACATCTCTGTTTACAACATGCTTGGCCTCAGCCCCTCACAAATTTATATTGTTGGCAGACCTTCGAAGAAGTACCAAAATCAGTGCCAGGTAGTTCAGTTTACATTTGTGTACTTTGATCTTCTCACTTCTCCCTGTCAGATGTTCTAACTCTTTGCCTGTGTGGTATGTGTAGTTCCTGAGCGAAGGTTATGCAGCACACCTCTCCACTCTTCAGTTTGGGCACAGAGCCAGACCTAAGAAATCTCCTTCAGTTCGCATGGTCTTAAGGAAAGGTTCATTTGGTCTCTCAGCGAAGCCTGACTTTCTGTGTAAACGAACCCACCTGCGCAGGACCATGTCAGTCCAACAACCTGACCCCCCGTGCACACCCAACCCTAAGCCTGAGCGAGCCCAGAGCCAACCAGAATCGGATAAGGATCATGGTGGTGGGGGAGGCGGAGGAGGAGGAGGGCAAGGGCAAGGACAAGGTGCTTGGGGACGAGCCTCCATGCATCGCGGAGATACAACTCCCTGACAAGAGACAAGAGATGAAAGGATTGCTGGAGGACAGAAGAGGAGAACAAAGGGGTCTTAGTGTCCAGGGCCAAGGTGACATCTTATTCCATATTCCAGGTTATAACATTGCAATTTGTTGTTTGCTTTTTTCTTATACTTTTTTGCAATTTTGCTAGTATAGGACAGTATATAAGATTCTGAGACCTATTATAAGGAGTTATATCCTGGACAAGCTACAGGTTGAACAAAACAAATTATTTCCCCATATTGTGTAGTATATTACTGCCCTTTGCCGATTATAGACTGTGTCCTTTATAGACTTGGTTCAATATTCCATGCATATTTGCTGAAATGGAAACACAGTTTTCTTAGGAAATTGAGGGATTATTATGCATAATCTTGCTAACGTGCAGTGGTTAGGTGCAGCAGAGTGTGTCTGAGAAATAACACAGACAAATGAGGCACAAGTCTCTTAGACTGATCCGTCCAGAGCTAGAAAAACAGAATGGATTGATTTACAAATCTCATAAAGCCATATGAGACTCTCATACACCTTATAATGTAAACAAAAGGAAAAAACAGAAGGAAAACTGTTAGCCTATCCATCTTGAATAGGACACATTTGAAATAATAAGTGACAAAGAGAAAATTTCTCACCTCTGGGTTGGTCGACTCTGTTGTCTCAGACCCAATTCTGAAAAAGATGCAATGCTGTGTAAAATGTAAATAAAAGAGTGGAATGATTTGGAAATCTCAAAATAGAACATAGAAAACATATTTGACAAAATGAGAAAAATAAAAGCTCATTTTGAATTTTTAATAACAGGAACATTCAGACAATGTCTTTTTTAGGGAAGGCCTTGTATATTTCAGCAAGACCGTGCAGCCCTTTCACCAAATGAAAACATTTGGAGCATCATGTAATGGAAAATATGACAAACAAAGCCCAGAACTGTTGAGCAGCTGTAATCTAACAGACTGGGAGAATGCTCCTCTCTTAAAAGACCAGCAGGTAGTCTCCTCAGTTCCCAGGCTGTTATTAAAAGAAGAGGGAATGCTATACAGTGATAAATATGGCCTGGTCCCAAGTGTTTTTGCAATATGTTGCTCCATCAAATTCAAAACAAGCCATTATGTTTCTTATATAGTAATTTTTTTCAGTTTAAACATTTATTTTATGAATAAAGTATCGGTTTATGACATTTACAAATCATTGCATTTTTGTTTTTATTTTGAGTTTTTCCACAGTGTCCAAGCTTTTCAATAGTTTTTATTGTTTTGTAAAAAAATACAGCATTTTAGTTGTCTGTGTTATCAAATCACAAGAACATTAAGAAAAACATTGTTAGATCTGAAAGCAGAAAGAGTTCAATATTTGGACCATTAGTCCAACCTAAAACTGAACATCAGTAGAGTGTTCAGCAGCACAACAGTGGCATGCATTGGTCCCCCAATTTTTATTATTTAGTGTAGATTAAAGCCAGTCTCTTTGTATCACTTTGTGAGAGTTAATTGTGGCCCTGTCATTTTGTGCAAAATGGAAAATCAGTGTTGTGTGTTCTGCAAACCAAACATTTTCACACACTTTCAAACTGTAGGCAGGCTCTTTCAGACAGCCTATGATCAGAGTGCTGTAATACGCCTCCTCATGTTACGTCTGCGAAGTAATGTTTTATTTACTGTCACATTAATCCTCATTGAATAATGTAAGTTTTCACCTTTTACTTCCCTGCATTGTGTGTTAATCTTAACAGCACAAGGCTCTGCAAAGCCATGACACAAACCCAGATTGATTTTGTTCACTTCTGTTGAGCTCCAGCAAAGTCAATAAGCGTCCACCTTGATTAAATGATGCTCTGTGCTGTATCTGATCTGACTTGCAGTCTTCATGTTTTTAGTCAGAGAGCCATTTTGAATTTAAATGCATAAATAAGTCTAAGAGCACAAAATAAGGGAAAAATGAACAACGGGGGAATAATCGTTCTCTTTTTCTCAATACCACATATTCCTGTGGCAACCAGAGTAATGGGTGCTATTATTAGCAGCAGTTCCCTAGCAGGACTGAATGGAGATCTGGCCATGATAATGATTATGCAAGCTCAACTGCAATGTCTGTTAATGCTTGAAATTCACTCATATATTAATTTAGAAATGTTGTCTGTGCAATTTGAGTTGTGCAAATGGAAAATTAGAACTGCGTTACAGTAAAACTCTAATTCTCCTTCCTCTCATTTAACAGCGTCACCTCTGCCTACTCTATGTGTACTTTGGATCCTCCTGTTCTTTACCTCCTGCTTGGCCCTGTACACTTCGCCACCTGTTCGGTCCTTTTCCTGACCTGCTCGGTGGAAAAGGTCACTCGGTCTTCTTAAATTTGAAACAGCTGCCGAGGACGGCAGCAATTTTTGTCAACGTTTGTGTCAAGCTTCAGTTGTGTCTCACTGTCAAACCTAAGAATGTAATTAAAAGTGTTACTATACACACATATTTATGAACACACACATGCTCCAGAGGATGAAAAACGATGATGGTGGCTACCTTGAAGCTATTATGACCCTTTTCCAGCCTTAGCAGCTGATTAACAGATGCTGCACGTACCACGGTCCTATTCAGACTGCTGTGCTGAGAGGTGGTCACGCTGAATGACTTCTGCACTGACTCCACTGATGTAAATACTCAACACACATTATCCCTGCGTGGGCCTCTGGACACAGAAGCACTGTGACATTTCAGTTCAATCTCTGCAATCCAGAGCGCCAAACACCCAACCTCTCTGAACTCCAGCCTCTGCCTCTATTTTATTCACACTGTTGGATGTTTCCCCTCACGTTGTGGTTGGCTTAGTACTAGTTCAACCCCACCCCCACCACCCTCCCCTTCAACCAGTCAGGCAGAACATGCCATCTGACAGCTGCCTCAGACCTGGTCCGCAGCCGCTGAAGTACTGTGGTGTGCACGGCTCGGCCCCCGAGGTTGCATTTGCACTACACAGCAGTGGCTCTCGATTTAGCTGCAGTTCGAGCTTCAGAAACAAAGAGATGCATTTTTGGTGTATTTGTACTTCTTGTCACTGCTTGTTGATTACTGTAACTACTGAACGACTGAACAAATAGTTCATAGCAAAGTGTTCACTTTACCGAAAATGTTTACTGATTGATAGACACAGCCGTGAAATGGTGATCAAAACATGTTTGCCTAAATCATTACAGTGAAAGCATAATTAGCATGTCAAGTATTGATTGGTAGTTGACTGGTAGTTGCAGTGCACTTTTTCAGGGTTTAAATACCTCCACGCTCTTCGCAGTCAAATTCAGAATTTTAACTAGTTAAATATTTGCTGCTTAAATATTTCAACATTGCTTCTTCATGTCACTAAAAAGTAACACGACAAAGAACATAGAAAAATAACTTTTATCTCAAACATGTTTTATCATTTACACTGTGTCATTCTCACTTTGGATAGCATCAAATTATACAAGTACTTAGTAATCATGGTAATAAGTGCTAAAAGTGACAAGATTATATAAATTATTATGTATAGAAGTTGTTATATCTGAATAAAAAAAAACTTTAAATATGTCCTCTTATTTTCAAACATTCAAACAAAAAACATCAGTGCGTTGGTTTAACTAACTGACTTATAAAGTCTGTAACTGCTTTGCAAGTAGAGGTCACTGCAGAACACAAATGGGCCACAACCGCTGGCCATCCCCCAGCTGTTAGGCAACGTCAGATTAGAGTTAGTTAGAGACAACGTGTGTGGCTCTGAAAGTGTAAAAATTAAAGTCCTCTCTGAAATATTTAATCCCAGTATTTCAATACAATGTTAGCTGTGTAGCTCGCAGAATTGTATAATAGACACAATCCCTGTCGGTTCTACCAGAATGCCCTTGTGTCCATTTATAACAGCTGCCCTGGAACCAATAGATTTGTGATAAAATCAGATGCCGTCTTGTGCACTTGAAGTTGAATTGAATCTTATTGTGGTCATGTTTAAAAATCTGTGCAAGTTGAACATATTTTTCTATGAGCAAATATTGTAAATAGAAATATTTTCGATGTATGTTTTTGAATTTTTGGTTGTTTTACTTGTAGAATTGTTGATTTTTGCCTTAAACTGTATTTGATGTTGTGTAGGAATACAAAATAATTTGTTTTGTCAAAGTATTGAGTTTTATTGTTACTTCATGACAAAGTGCATTCTATCTAGTTGATCAGATACAGTATATATGTGTGTGTGTGTGGATGTGTGTATGAGTGTGTGAGTTTAGAGGCATTTGTTGTATAGTTGTACTTACTGAGAACATGAAGACAGCTATGATAAGTAAACGCCTCTGCAGAGAAAAATCAGACCAGTGTTAATATATCTGCACGATCCAACTGCAGCTCAATACTGCCGATTCTTCAGAAGGGAGCATGTATTTTTTATAATGCTGAGATTAAGCAGGGCATCAGGGGGATACTTGGTTAAGGTTTTAAATGCTTACCTTGAAAGAAAAAGAGCATATGAGCTCTTTGGGTGTCTTGTTTTAACTTAAAGCCTGCATGGAGCGGAACACGAAAGCCAGGTTGGATCTATTCTTGACTCCTCTGCCTTTGATGGTCCATTAGTTGATTAAGTGATCACTAATAAGTATGTATGATTCCCTGTAGTTCAGCCCCGTAATTACAGTGCACCAATTAGCATTACCTGGTAACTGTATATTATCCCAGATACAATGCTGAATTACTCAGTTTTGTTTTGTAATTAAACAGTTCATATTAAAGCATACCAATCATTCCAGTCAATGTGCACACAGTAATCAAAAGTGAATCAAAGTGTACAAAACATACGTTTTATTTTGATGTACAAAGGATATACTGAAGGATATACTGAAAATCTAGTTGGAATTTCACCACAACAGTGTTAGTAAATGGCAAATAATAATCTAATGGTTAGATGGTGGCTGTTCTGTGTATGAGATTGATTGGATGCTGTAAGCAATAACTATCAGTTGCCACCTTTGAGGTAACACAAACATGACAATGTCATGTAACAGCAAAGTATTTAATGTTAAAAGGTGGGGAATGATGATTCGTGGACATGCTGTAATGATACTACACAGTGAGCAAGATCCAAATCAGTAAATTTATGATAAAGATCTAAAGAGTGAAAATACTCTTACCTGTATGGTCCATACTCTCATCGACAGAGAATTGTTAATCAAGAGTGAAGTTAGTTTCCATTTTTCCAATAAAATGTTAAACAGTCTTTAGTTAATTAAAAAAATGTTCCCATATGTGAGAAAAAACACAAAAGAGGGAGCATCGTATTACTAACCTCACTAAGTGCTAATTAATGCTGTCAAATTAGTATTCTCCAAATTATGTCTTGGGTACTGACCTAATTTGCCATTTATTAACAATTTGTATGACTATAGTCAGTTATTCAACTTGGTGTTGCAGCTTCTTTTAAAGAAAATAGCTCTTATTTATTCTGAAGTCTTTGTTTTTTACATTGCCCTCTTGACCAAAGAGGGGGGAAAAACTCCTGGTTTCAGTGCTGCAACGTTTGTTGTTTTGTACATATCCCCTGTGATGATGATGAACATGTTATTGTGTTTACTGGACTAAGTCCATCTTTCATTAGTGCATAAATAAAGATATTTCACAGTGGAAGAATTTAGCTTTGCTGCAGGAGTGTCTTATTATATATTCCACATCCCCCTTATCTCTGAAGACAGAGGGTGAATCACCTCCGATAAGCTTCTTCAAGGTCAGGTGCTCTACTGAAGGGCATCAGAGCCGAGTGCAGATCTTATTATCGCTTATTTTATATTTGTAAGGCTTGCTGCAAGTCAAACGTTTAAATCTCATTCAAAAATCTTATTTTTGTTAATTTTCTAAACAAGATGAATCAGTGTAATTCAGCCTACATCATGCTTAATACTTATGCAATACTCGCATTTATTTGTAATAAGCTGTGGACTTTATTCTACCCCACACAATAGTTACAGCTCAGTCAATAATTTGCTGACTTTGAGTTTGAATATGCATTGAGAGTTTTTACACTGTGGCAGGTTTTGTTGACTGCATCTAAAGCCAAAATTGAACTTTTTTTGGTCAATATTTATATTCAGTTTTTTCTTTTATTATTTTTTAACAAATCAGCAATAGCACAGAACAAGGAAATACAATGAGAAAAAACAGGACAAGGTGAAAACAGGATAATAGGAGAATTTTTATTGTATTTTGAATGGAAGACAAACAGCACGTCTGACAACAATAGCCACAACATCTTGTATAGACACAATATAAATACGTAACACAGAAACACACACACTCACACAGAGCATATTATTTTTTTCCCATTCAAAAATGTTAAAACACGATTCCAGGATTTCTCAAATTTATTATGTCTGTTATTGTTGAGAAGTCTTAAACTCTCCAGATGTAACACATATTTCTCCCTTCCAAAACTCAAATGCAGTCTTTTTTTCCGCTACTGTAGTGTTAACTTTTTTGCTATGATATTCCAAACAGAATTGAAATCCATTCATACTTGTTTACAGGTTTTAAATAGCTGGTCAACCCAAAGATAGCTGTAAATGCATCAGAATCCCAGCTCTTCCCAAATACTTCACAGTAACAGCAAAACAATGTTTAGTTTTTCACATGTTCAGAAATAGTGGGTGAAGTTACCCATGAAAGATATGCATCTGTCTTCACTTGTTCCATATTTTGTCATGTATATATCTTATTCCAAAAACAAAAGTATTCACTTTTATTTTTCTTTTCTTTGACACTTAAAATCTCTTGCACATCCTATTTCCACCAACCATCTGTTAGATGTTTCTACAACAGCTCATTGGACATCATTTGGAAAAACACACCTGTCTATATAAGGTCCCATTGTTGACATTGCACATCAGAGCACAAACCAATCCATGAAATCAAAGGGATTATCTGCGACCTCTGAAGCCTCCATCATTCGTAAATGGAAGCAGTTTGGAATCACCAGGACTCTTTGTAAAGCTGACCACCCAACCAATCTGGGCTGTTAGGATAGAAGGGCATTAGTCAGGGGGGTGACCAAGAAACTGTTTACCTTGACAGAGCACATGTAAAATGGCTGGACACAAAATTCAAAGGTAAGATACTAGTGGGGAATATCCCTAATGTTGCAGGTTTCCACTGAAGTAAAGCACCATGTGAAGTTATTGAAATAATTAGAGCACACCATTAGAATGTAGCTACAAAATTTCATTAATGTATCAAGTTCAGTGTATCCAGTAGTTATTTCACTAAAGACAACAGATGTGAACCTGATGGACAGCCAAAATCTAACGAATAATAGTTTTAAAGTTTTAGTAAACCAAATGATAGACAACTGATCAATAATATAGGATTAATATTGAAATGTAAATATGTACAGATCCTATCTGCCATGACATATTATAGAAAAGACTTGTTTTAATATTTGTCATACAGGTCATATACAGTTACACAAATACAATAACCATGCCTAATTGTTAGCTACACATACAAATTACTGCACTTTATCTGTCCAATCTAGTGTAAGCTACCATTTCTGCATAGCTGAATTGAGGTAACCTATCATGAAGTAATTTCAATTATATTAATGTCAGAGACATTTTCATAACTCAGCCATTGTTCAGCTTGTTGAATGTCGTTGTTTAAACAAATATTTCAGAAATACCACATGAACTCAGTTTTCCAGTTCAACAAACCCTGAAAACATTAATAATTTAATCAAATTTACGAACTGCTTTGATCAAACTGAAGGCAATGAGGACAGTTACGGGGATATGTAAGCTCATTATTAAATGTTTTATTTCACCTCAGACATTTGGCATAATGAGCTGGAGCTGTGATTCTCAAAGCCACATTTAAGCCTCATTAGTAACATATGGTCTGGGAAAACAGGCAAGA